GTTCAGATTGTCACGCAGCTGTTTTAACAAACGAACCAGACTTAGGCCTATATTGAACTTTGTAAATTCGGACATTGGTCACGTGGTTTAGACCCAAATTTATGCCCATTTGGATTTGCACGTTTTAAGTATTTTTAATAGGAAATGATGAGTTGACAGCTTGTTTTTCGTGAAATACTAGTCTGAAAGGGTGCACTGGTGTACAAATGAACTTCAGTGTAGCAGCTCGTTTCTGTTTATTACTCCTCTATCGTGGCACTTTTTAGCTCGTTGTGGGAATGGAATATCACAGGCGTGTGTGTTTAGACAATTTTGAAGTTTTTATATTTTTAAAGGAAATGTCAGTGGGAAATAGCAATTTGGATTTTTATTATTATTTTTCTATAGCAGTTCTGGGGCCGGTTTCACAAAGCAGTAGTTAGTTAGCGATCGGTAGTTAGCCTCTCGCTAGTTATAGTGGCGTTTCACGAAGCAGTCGCTAGTTCTCTCGCTCGTTATTGTCTCGTTGTTACCTTGGACATTTAACGACTGGTCAGACCAGTCGCTAACTCTAGAGTTTTATCGTACGCATGCGTAATGAGTGAAATAATAAGGTTGCTTAGTTACCGTTGTCTGTCGTTTGTCTTTGTATCCAATATGGCGGCTACCTTTCTTGCTAAGCGTACCGCCAGACGGCAACGTAGACTACGACGTTTTCATGAAAGGCAGAATCTATTTAGAATATACACACGATGATGCAATTTACGAGAGGTTGCGCCTAGCTGTGACAAAAAGAGCGGCAAAAAGGTGGTGGAGATCCTTTACGACGACCCCAAAGCAGACGTTCTTATGCATTTCCAGCCACTAAAAATTGGAGAGTTAGAGCTTTTGTGACACTTTTACGCAAGAATTCCACTTCCGGCAGACGGTTTCGAGATTACGGTGAGTAACGAGAGAACTAGCGACCGAACTTTACGACTGAACTTAGCGATAAGTTAACTACTGCTTCGTGAAACATCCCTCGAAAATCGCTAAGTTTGCTCGTTAGCGAGGTAGTTCAGTAGTTAGTTGTTCTAACTAACTACTGCTTTGTGAAACCGGCCCCAGGGCTGTGCCAGTTCTATTAAATCACCACTTCCATCTATATCATGAGAACCTTGCTATATTTACCACTTTGTAATTGGGTACAAGTATTCTTTTGCTACAATTGTTGATGATATCCTCCTCTGTAATTAGAACTGATTAGATGCACACCTTATCATGGTTGTAATTTCTATGGGCTATCTTTGCTATCGTCTAAAACACTATAGGCCTAGGCCTACCTGTGATTTAATTGTCTGACTGTTTATATACCTGTAAAATTTCCCTGGTCAGGTAAAATGGCACGTCCAAACAGGGGACATTATAAGCTATCTGAAACATAGACTGTAATACTTGTAGAAGATTGTCTCGTTAAATTTTCAAATGATCACACAATGGGTACCCTGAGTGTCAGAGCAACGTAAAAGCTAGTAGGCCTATGTTAAATATACCTTGTGATGGAGTCGCTTTTACTAGTATTGTTGATATGGGTTATATATGAAATCAAGATCGAGCTGCCAATACCGGAATCTAGAACCTAGGGTAGCAATGGGAAAATGTACAGTTATTGTTTTTACTCTTTCCAGGTCTGTTATGGCCAATGAACATGTGGAAAAAAAAAAAGGTCGCCGTCTTCTGTTGCTACTCCAGGCAGACAGAGGTTGCTGCTATCACAAAGAGATACAGCATAGAATTTTAAATTGAAATGAACTAATTAAATCCATCCATTGCAACTTATACTGCTGTCTGACATTTAATTCTTATTATACAGTACAGTTGAAATCTCTATCAAAATCCTATAATACTGCTACATGTACAAGCAAATAAATAAGGTACAGGAATCAAATAACATCCATAATACAGGGGCGGATCCAGATATCTTTTATGACAGTCTTCCAAATTATCTTTGCATCCATCCTCCATTTTTAATATCTTTCGACAAAAAAAAAAATAAATAAATGAAAATAAGTTAGCGCCAATGGAAACTTGAAAATCTGACCGTCTTCCGAAAGACCATGCAAGAAGACTCCCTCATTCTGCCCCTGATAATATACAGACAATTTACAGGTATATGACATTATGATAAAAAATGGTATAGTCGATTATGCGTCTTACAAAATATTAACAATACATTTCTGATCACAGAAAAAATGTCCTGTGTGTGCACTTTTCATTTTGTGTCAGCACTATTCATGATAATAAATACCTATTAAGATGTAAGTCTGTCAAATATGACATGTAAAGGAGTCAAATTTCATAGCCTACCAGTCTACATCGTGCAAGAGGACGGCCTTACTAGTACTTACCCAATGACGTTTACTCTCCACTGACATGATTTTTAAGAAAACCATGTGAACTGCATTTTTTTTTTTTTTTTTTTTTTTTTTTTGCATACTTATCACAAACAAAAAGGTTTTCACTTGTATTGACAACAAAACTGATTACAAGCATTGATTTGTATTTTAACTTCTGATCAAAATAAAAACAACATGTAATTTCCACTTTGTGCATATTTTCAATTTCTACTATATATACTATAATCACGTAAGTAACCTGTGCTGTTATCCACTAATGGGCCTGAGAGGACACTGTTGTTTATACATGTCTAAGGTAAACCAAATAATTTCGTTAGGTTGTCGTTGCGAAATACTCAGCTTTTACATAGTCAATTCATTGAAAAATCTGTATCAAAGATCATAATGTGTGTAATGTGGTCTCTGTTATCCAAATTTTGAATTAACCTGTCGATGACATAGGAGTGTTAGTATTTTTTCTGAGGTTTTCACCGAGGAGTTGGAGGCTTTCGCGGTTTCCGTATGCCGGGACGGGCTGAGTTATGGGTTGTTCTCGCGTATTCTCGCAAGTTAACGAACTACTCTGTGGATTTCCACAGGTGACCCCCTGTCGCTTTGGCCTGTCACTCGTACACTTTGTCCCGCCCCTTAACAGAGATAGGACAATAGACTGACACCCGTTTCCATTCCCTCCGATATAATTCCCTGATCAGACTAAAGCTTTTCAAAATTTTCTAAAATGTATTAACGTAGTCCATTCTTGCACCATAAACGACTGCAATCCTCAAATCTAACTATTTCATATTTGTCTTAACTAAGTTCGTATTATTTTAGTTTATATTAATTTATTAATTTATATACAATATTAATTGCCTTTTACATACATATATACCAAAAATATCTACGCAATGTGTATTTACATTGTGTTAATGTATGAGGTTATTGGGAGTCTAAGTGATATATTCTATTTTATCTGAACATAAACAAACTTTACTGCACACTATAAAATATTAATTAGTTTATGTTCAATAAAGATCACAGCATCTAAACGTATACCAGTATGTGTTTAAGTGCTAAACACTGTTTTACCGTGTGTGCCTTTGATTGGCTGGTCATAATGAGGCGAGCTGTACTGTCCAATCAGATTGCACTCGTATCTTACCAGCGCCTCCTGATAGTAATTAAAGTTGAAGTCTGAATCACATAGAGAAGGTCAACCAGGCAAAAATACTACCCTTGACTTATATAAATAATGGTACAAATTGTGCATATGAAACGATCCAACGGTAGCGGCCCCGGTCTCCCGATGATCAGAGGAAGAAAAGAAAAAATACAACCCTGAAAAGGGCAACCTCAGTCCACAAAATAAGGATAAACACATCTGGGCTCCCGATGACCAGAGACAAGGAAATGGAATGAGAAAACACAATAATACTATAAAGGCGGAGGAAAATAGGTATATAATATATGTATATTATATATAAAAATATTTATATTATAATAACAAACATCTGAAAAAAATTAACAAGCTGGAAGGGGCGGCCAGTCCGCAAACTGGAAAGAGACGGTCAAAAAAAAAAAAAATCCAAGCGAGACCAAAACCACGTACAGACAAACAATACAGGCCGAAGACAATAAACACGTTTTGGGGATTGAAAGAAGCTCTTGTATTTTAATGCACGAGACTTCGTAACTTTCCCGTGTCGGCTTTGCCGACACAAACCTATACATCATCATCAACATAGAGAAGACATCCTGTCTATAATCAGGAAAGACACATCTGGAGCTTATTTTATAAGAACTAAGCTCCCTGGGAGGCTTACTTAACACAGGTACACTTATCTCAAATAAATCCTTTTATTGTGACCAATAAATTATATTTAACATATAAATGGTTTCTTTTAATTGACCTTACAAAAACTACCGAAACTTTTTACAGTTGTACCTTGCATTTTGTGAGCAAAACAATCATTTTCTGCTAATGGTTTTGCTGCTCTTTTTTTGTTGACTCCATACAGTCTATGTTTATCTTTACATCTTCTTATTCCTCATCTAGCATTATATCATTGTGGACCGTCAGAGAAGGATCCACAATGTGAAAATAACATTAGACAGTTCAATTATTTGTGTATCGTTAAACAGCTGAAGGATAGTTTTAGAGAAACCAGTAAAGTGAATTTTTTTTAATTTCCCATTCAATTCAATTTATTTCTGCACTAGTACTTAGATTATCATGATCTTGTACAATATAATATTCTAATAACAGTACAATTGGTGTATTACCATTTCTTTAGTTGGTAATTGTGTTGCCTGTTTGTAAATGAAAAAATATCTTTATATAATGAACGGATGTACTGGTTAAATTACTCACAAAATATTCTAGATAAGCGGTGAGATAAACATGGTGTGATTATAAATTTACCATAGCCTATACATACCATAAACATATGGGTACAATCATATGTTACACAAAAGTAGTTGTTCAAACTTACAAGGGAGGGAGAACTACGTAATAGATAGACCCCGAGTCAGCGAGGGTTATGTGGCATACACGAGTGCGAAGCCACGGTCTATTAACTTGAACAACAGTTCACGACATCACACTCACGCAGCTACCCCGCTACCTTCATTACCTCACTAATCATCATGTTTGGAGCAGAGGAGGACGTCACCCTCTCTCAACTAGATTTAATACCAACCCAATCGTTATATAAGGTGGAGGTCGATGCAGAATCAAAGCGGTTCGAAGAGCCAGTACATTCTGCAGAATTTGAAAAAATGGTTGCAGACAGAATTCCAGCAAACACACAGAAAAATACGACCTGGGCGTGTAATATCTTTAAGGACTGGCGCACGTGGCGTAATTTTAGAACTGTTACTATGGCGGACCCTCACTGGCCTATTCCAACCCCTTGAGGAGGGAAATCTAGAGATTTTGGACTATTGGTTGGCTAGATTCATAACGGAAATTAAGCGCCAAGATGGCAGTTCCTATCCGCCAGGTGTGTTTAATTTTTCACATCATTCGTTATTTTCTCTTCAAGTCACAGCAGCACCCTGCTTCAATACTGTTAACACATTTAAAATAAATATGCAATTTTTTGAAACAACTATATTTTGAATTTCAAAATGTAATGAGAGTATTTCATTTCGATACATAAGAATATATATTTCAATTGCAGGTTCTCTCACAAGTGTTGCAGCGGGTTTGCAGAGATTCATGCGTAATGTCTGCAACCGACGTGATGTATGGCTGCTGAAAAAAGATGACCCACATTTCAAAAGCTTAAGGGAAGCGCTTGAGGCGCGACGAAAAACACTATTTCGTCAAGGAATCGGCACCAATCCCAGCCGTGCTGATCCCGTTGGTGTAGATGATGAGCAGCAGTTGTGGGAGACTGGTGTCATAAGTACGGAGACCAGCTCGGGTCTCTCGTATGCCGTTTATTTTTACAATGAAAAGATTTTTGGTTTCCGTGCCAGGGATGAGCATGATAAGTTAATGGCAGAACAGTATTCATTTGGACAAGAGGGCGGCCGCAAATACCTTCAGTATAATGGGCGACTTTCCAAAAACATTACCGGTTCTCTCAGCTCTAGCGCCACCCCCAGAATAATCCGCCACTACGAAGATCCTGACAATGAGAGATGCTTAGTTAAACTATTTCAGAAATATTTGTCATTGATTCCACCAGTAGGTAGATTCTACAGGCGGCCCTTGCCCGGAAAGGATGGTTTCCCCTTGTTTAGTTCTCAACCAGTTGGTATAAATTTGTTATCAGGGTACCTGCCCAAGATGTTCCAAGAGGCTGGCATAAATATGGAAGGCAGAAACATTAGTGGACACAGCGGAAAGGTAACATGCTGCACCGAGTTATATAAAGCTGGCTTTGACGAACAAACTATCAAAAAACGAAGTGGCCATTCTTCCGATGCGGTGCGTATCTACAAGAGGCCCTCTTTGGAATTAGAACAGAGGGTGAGCGACGCCTTACAACCACCCAGACCTAAGCCTGCCCCTGCCGCGGCTTCATCGTGCGTTTCAGTAACTTCATCTTCAACCTAGCCTGCAAGATCTTTATCGGCATCTCCAATGAAGCAAAATACGGAAAAGGACGACAAAATTTTAACAATTGAAATACCTTCTGTTATTGAAAAAGTTGTAATAATAAAAAACGGCAAAAAGATCACTTTTGAAATATAATACAGCTTGTTTTTTTTTCTTTCTTTTTTTCATATGTGGTGATAAACGCTCAGTCCCTAATTAACTTGCTTTCAGGTATGTTTACGGTTCTGTGCTTCGATGAGTAGTATGTGTGTGTTTTAGCGGGTTATAACGCATTCATGCGAGACGTGCGGTTATGCGAGTTACACTACGTCCGAGTCTTTTGTTCTTGACTTCCACCGTGGTCTAATTATTTATCGTTTACCAGCTTCAGTAGGCCTGCCAGACATCTAAGCCGCATAAGATGAAAGCAATTTAGCGACAAATCCCTAGGAGATGGATCGCCCCTGTTAGATCGATCTAGGTATGGGAACCTATAGTCTTATTAGTGTCAGGGCAATATTTATACCCGGTACGCAGCTGGGTTGGGTCGATTAAAACAATAATACCTGTATCAAGTGTGTTTGGAAGTTAGTGGTTGAATTCTAGATTTGGTGTAGCGTTAAGGGTAATTCTATTTTGCAAGTATAGTCTACCTCAGGTGTCATTTAATTCACATATTACCTCATGAAATGAATTTGCACTTTCCTCTGTAAAAATGTTAAATTCTGCTTCTTCCAACTGTAATGTTGTAGGTTACAATAAGAATAAAAATCAATATTGTTATTATTATAAATAATATACATTTAGGAAATTGATCAGGCCTTCCCCACTAAGCCGCACTAATTGGATGCAAGTAAATGTTGAAAATCAAAAAACCACAAAAGGTTTTTATAACAGGTACAAAAGGCAGCTAGACGACACACAAGGGAGAGGCAGCAAAAATTACTGCTAGATCATGTATGAAGCAGCACTCAGAACTTTTAAAAATTTAACACTGAAAGAAAAAAATCAGTTACTCTCCTTTGTCAGAGGAGTTTTGAGAAAATTGCAATTAGGTTCTGAATTTTACTGATTTTTCTACGGTAACTTTGTTTTTAAATGATTGTTTTTGAAGAGAATCTGCCAAGTATTTTTATTTGTTCTCTATTCCAAATGTTTATGACACTCTGTTGAAGCCAAGAATACTTCTGTCAAGCCTGTATTAGTTAATTGCATGTGACTTTAAAGTGCCCTTCTCAATTCCAAGGTTTTCCCTGTGCCACTTTTGCCGCCTAGATCCACTGGCTATAATTGCTGATCGACCGGTGTGGCAGGAGTGTACGTCCTAGTAACGCAAGTCCGCCCGGACAATAAGTCCTGGGAATGCAAGTCCTAGGGCATGCATTGCTAGGAATGGAAGTCCTAGGACATACGTTACTAGGATTCAATGTCCGTAGGACGAAGGCTCCCAAGTAATGCAAGTCCTACGTGTAGTAATACACGTCCTAATGGGACGTGCGTTCCTAACATTTTAATAACGCATGTCCTATGTATGTAGTTTACACCAAGAAATAACATGAATAAATAGATATACAGACATACTAGTTTTAAAGAAAGATATAATAAACGTTTGCTTTATTTTATTTATATGACATTCTATCTTTATATTTTACAGTGTTTTCCAATAGGCAGTTTATATGCATATTAATGAAGAAACAAAAGCAATTTATTTATTTTATGTGTATTTTTCATCTAGTAAACGCAAATTTTGACGTTTTAACGCATATTTTTGGCGTACTCCTCCCTCATTGCACAATATGTATGAGTTTGGTTTGCCCGATATATTTTTAACAAAATAAGGCACCATCCAAAGGCATCCCTTATTTTCATCCTTTGAGGTATATGTACATGTACAGTGTATATTATTTCATGTCCTTTTCTACTGGGGTGTACCTTTTGTGTTTTTCGTCGAAATTCTTATTTTCTCTCCCTCTCTCTCTTTTTCAAAACCTTATTCCTAAGAGAAAAATCATTTTAAACAAAACGCGGGATCTCCGTTCTTAGATTTATTTTTCGGTTTACACTCCCTGAAATTAAAAAAAAAAACCTCCAACTCGATGGAAATTTGCTCTTGGAAAGTATGGCCTGAGATTTAAGACAAATCAAGACAGTTTAGAAATTGAAAATTGCAATATATGTATATCATGTTCTGTGATAACCCTTTGCTATTTTGGTGCTTTGACACTTAAAAGACAAAAAGAAAAAAGTTGTAAACACGCTCGGCTGTCACCTTGATTGGATAGTAAACGATTGTCGTAAAATCGCTAAATGATATTAAAATCGGGTGCATAAACTAGAAAACCACCTAGGACAACCTAAGACTGCCACATTAATCCAATACAATGCAAAAATAAACTATAACAAGTGGTTAAACCCTTCAAACCGAATG